AGTGTGGGTGATTAGTGTGATAATTTCTTTAAAAGGAGGAGAAAATAAAAAGGGAAAGGGTGATAGGGATTTAATTTTTAACCCAATTATATATATATATATATATATATATATATATATATATATATATATATATATATATATATAATATATATATATATATATATATATAAAATTTAATGTTCCCGGGAAAAGTGAAATCCGCATCTATAGAATGCCTAATGATAAACCGGCAAAGTATGAAATACATCTCCGATTCGTTTCGAATATTGTGTGGCTTAATGCGTGCCTCAGGCTCAGAACTTATCAATTGCACATTGTGGTTTGTTCAGGAGTAAAAATACTTAACTTTACTTAAAATTGTTCAACAAAAAAATGTTTTTTTTTTCCTGCCCTGCATGAAAATGGAGAGGCAAGCTGTAGTTTTCGAGAAGGAGTCATGGTCTATAATAGGGGTCGGCAACCTATAGCACACGGTACAATTATCAGTGGCACTCAGCAGTTTCTGCACTAAGAACTTGCTTAGAATTAAAGATATTCCTGGCCATGAAATTCCTCTTCAATGAGTTGCGATTGCTCATTCCAATGGAAGCGGTGAAGGATTCGTAAAATGTATGTGTAAAACAAAATACTAAAATAAGAATGGTCTTTGCGTAAAAAATGTAATGAAATGTGTAATTCAAAATGACATTCAAGCCTACCATGTTGCAATAAGTAGGTTAATATTTTTTATTTGAAAAATTTATTTTCCCTAATAAAAAAGAAAGACAAAAAAATTTTTTTGTTTTTCGTACAATTTTCTTTTTCCTTTACGTATTTTGAACAATTTTTTAATGGCACTCTCGTTATTTTGTCAGAATAACATTTGTACTTTTTAGAAATGTTCGTCAATGATATAATAACCTTACCATGACCATATTTCATACTTTGTCTAAACAGCTTTGGTCATTCTATAGAATGCCTAGGCAAAGTATGAAATAATTCTCATATTTCATACTTTGCCTAAAAACGTCAAGCATTCTATACAATGCCTAGGCATTCTATGGAATGCCGGCATTTCATACTTTGACGGTAACATATATATAAAATAAGTGTTTGAAACATGCGGATTTAGTCTGTCATTTTTTCGCGTAATTCTTCCTTACAGTTGAAAGTTTTAAATATGAAATTTTTTATCTAAGATTTCATTCACACGCACACACACACATTTCTTCAAGATTGTTTAATGTCTTATTCATATTCTTATGTACCAAAAGTATTTCCAATTATATATAATCAAAATTATTTCTATCCTTATTAAAGTATAAAAAGTGCTGTTTTTTTTTCTTTTTGATGAAGTATAATTAATGTATTCATTAATTTATATTAATTATTTAAATTTTTTATAGTTTTAAAGTACGAGTGTACTTTGGTAATGCGTAGTACTAGTATATTTAATAATAATAAGTTATATTATGAGGCAAGAGGAAAAATACTTTACCTTGTTGATCTTGTAGTATGAATTTTTTTTCAGCGGGAACTTTTTCATTTTTCAATAATTAAAAAAAGAATTTTGTACAAAAAGCGATCATGAGAAACATTCAAGGTGACTTCAAGCACAACACTGGTATTAAATGAAATTTAAAGAATAATATTAAAACAAACAAATCAAAGAAAAGTGATCATATTATTATTAAGATAGCCATGTATTGTTCGGATAACAAATGTGATAACTGCTTCAATTATAAAGATCAATGTAACTATATGCTAACAAACCATAACAAAAGAGTAAGCAGGCAGTATAGAATTAATGAATACAATGGGCTTTTTATATCAAGATTATAAAAATAACCTGAAAACAAAGCTACACTATATAATTTTAGAAATAGGTTATTAATCAGCCCTGTAAGTCATATGTGAGGACGACGAATGAATTTGAGTTTTCAAAATGAAAACATTTACTTGTGGTTTCATTTTCATCAACAATAGTATCGATTAATTTAAATGGCATTAGAGAACCTGGCAACAACTGCTGTATCTCTAAGTTTACTTCGTCAACATCAACATTTTTTTCCTGCAAAAATAACACTATTACTGAGCCAATCATTACCTAGATAATTATTCAGTATATCCTGGAAGGTGTTTTCAATCAGTTTATTTCGTGCCTGAACAACGGTACATAGGCGTTGAACTGGCGTTTTCCTTTGGGCATCTGGACTGTAAAACAATCCTCAATCCCATATCGTGACAAGTCTTTGATGTTGGGCGTGGTGAAAGTGGTGTTTTTCATTCTGCTGAGTGGCATGACGGCGATTGGTCAAATGATGGAATCCGGGAGGCGTGGCTATAATGCTTCATCTGGGTGAAAAAGTTGAAGGATTTTTGGCTTGAGTGAGAGCTTAGAGGCTGCTCTCTGATTGGATGCTGGGTACAGTGATCAGTGACTCCAATTGGCTGCCCTGGGGGCTCAGATTTAAAAAATTGGGAGGTGCTTGTCCAGTGGGGTAGAAAGGAAATAACATTGACAAAAATTTAAGGAGGATTATATGAATCAAGAAGAATTCTTCTTGGTCTTTTGGTATTATCATTGGGAGTGTAAGGCATTAAATTTTGCATATTAGAATTATTGGTATGAGGTAGAGCGTTAAAAAAGTTAATTGCTATTTTCTGAATATGAGATTTAAAACTAGTAATTTTAACAAAGGTACATAAATTGTCTTGATATTTTATACCTTGAGTATAGGAATGCTGTTCAACTTCACCGTTTTCGATATCCAGCAGCTGGTTAGGAAATATTTGTGCTGATGGATCATCTGGTAGTTGTACTCGAATAGAAATGGTTAATTGAAATGTTTCGACATTTCACCCTAAAAAGGATCGTTTTAAACATGAGTTAATCTTGACGGCAAAAGTAGAGTAAGGAATGACTGGCAACGTCCGTCGGAAATTACCACACAGAAAAACAGCATCACTAAATATTTTCTCGTTTCCGTTTAAATCTTGCAAAGTTCAATGTAATGTTTCAAATGAGTGTTTATGGGCTGTGGCAGTGTTTCTCAAACTGTGGGGCGCGCCCCCCTATGGGGGCGTGATAATCCTACAAGGGGGCGCAAGCATATCGAAAATAAAAGATTTTTAAAAAATTATCAATTTACTAAAATTAAATCAAAACAAAATACATTGTGAGATAATAAAAAATACATATTTACAATGATGTAATATACTTATAAATGTATCAGCACTACAATATGTATTTGATCAATAATTCATCATTACTAAGTTAAGAATGCGTTTAATAATTACTAATGACCCCATGGGCTTGTCATATACAAAATTATATGCAAAATTTAATACTTGTACGGTTTAGAATTAAAAACGTATTGCTGCATTAGAGTCAAAGTAAATTATTATCGAATTCAGTACATTATTATTGTATAGTGGGGGAGGGGGGCGCCATGGAAATTATGATTGAAAATTGGGTCGCAAGGATTAATCAATGACAGCTAAAATTTATTGACAAAAAACATGTATAATGGTTTTAAGAAATTCATGAATTTAAAATTATTATTAAGTACAGAATTGATAGAATTATTTTTATTCGTTAGGCTTATTTGTCGTTATAGTAAAAACGTTGCAAGTAAGCGAATGTCAACATTCGAACTGTTGCCAATCTGGCAAAGCGAAAAACGATACAAAGAATTGTTTCCAGATTTACAAGTATAAAAAATTAGTTACATAAAATACAAAATAGTAAGTTGCAAGACCTAAATATAGAATTATGAAATTCGTCTTGAAAAATTAATAATTGTTTTCATTAATAATGTTCTATTCTTTTTACATTTTCTACTTATTTATTAAACTCACTTGGCTCTTGCAGCCATTAGTTGGCAAAAATTGAACAATCACTGTCACAACAGATTCAGTCTCATGCAAAATACAATTGCCTAAAATATTAGGAGATAAATACTAGGAGAATTGAACTAATACGAATTATTAATTTCTGAACAAGATATCTATTAAAAACAAGTAAAAATTTAATCTAAATGACAATAACTTTGAAGTGAAAACTTTCCAATAAAAAGGCGACAGACTATTTTGTATTCAGGTTCTCCTTTTATTAAATAAACAGCAAATTTCATTTGTTTTTATCAGCTTTATACATTTTATCGAATGAGAAAATAAAAATACAGAACACTTACATTTAAAATTTCTGAGATGCAATATATTTCATACTAAAAATTTTCTAAACTATTAAAGTAATCAGATGAAATCTTTTGAATATTTCGGTATGTATGAATAATTTAAGTAAAATGCATTCATATACTTTTCTGTATTGAAAGAATATTATTTTAAGAACAAATAAATTCAAAAGATGAAACTTGTCTAAATATAATGAATGTTTTTCTTCGTCTGAGAAATGTCTGGAATATCAAAGAAAACAATCTTATTATTCACAGAAAACAACTTCTATTATTGTTTGAAGGAATCAATTTCAAAGAATATTTCAAAATTTTCAAGTTAAAATGTGTAACTAAAGTAATTAACAAAATATTTTGATAATATATATAATTATAGAAAATTAATATTTCTGTACACCAAAATATATTTAAATATTCCGTTTAATGAGTTTAGTAGTTCAGTTAAAAATACTTAATTATATAAAAACAATTAGAAATAACAAGTAATACAAAAAAAAATTTCTTTTGTCAATTCTTACATAGGTCAACAAAGAAAAATGTTATGTTAGTTAATTTTTCTTAAATAGTTACAATTAATATAACCATGTATATTTATATGATAGAATAAATAGTTACAATTAATATAAATATGTATGTATAAATGACAGAATCATAATATTAAGCGGCAAAATAGAAAGCGATTTTCCTTGCCATTTTCCTTTTTATATAGGGTGTGGGACTATTTTTGTTTATTTGTGTTTCTATTTATTTATTAAATAAATTTTAATTTTTTATTCCAATAAAATAGTGTAGTAAAACGAAATTACATTCTCAGAACTTAGACCATTCAGGTGGTATTCGAATCCACGACATTTGGGTTTGAAGTCCAACACGCTATCCATTACGCTACAGGGACCCCCCCCAATTTTTCCCCTTTCTATATTTTGGTAAAGGGAATTATTATTGTTTATTATTTATTCTTTAAATTTAAAATTTTAAATTTAAAAATTTTTTTAAAAAAACTGTATCAATTTTCTTGTGTCATCCACTACAGGTTTAAAAAATTGTTTTTTGAATTTTGGGGAATGAAAAAAAAAGTTTTTTATCAACGATTAAAAAATTTGAAATAATGATTTTTATATAGGGAGAGTGTGAACTAATAGTAGGAATTGAAAAAAGGATTGTTAATTAAATTATTTTAGTAACCAATATAATTAGTAATGATTAAGTAATTGTGTTTTTTCTGATAAAAATATCTTGTTACACTCGATGTTTTTCTTTTACTCTTAAACAATTTAATGTTGTTTATTTCAGCTTTAATTTACTTTACATTGAAACAACTTGCCAATGTTCTCAACCAAGCTACAATTTCTGGTGTGTTTTTTTTTTAATATGTTTAGATCTATTACGCACATTTTGTAACGTTATCGGGCTTCTAGCGGTTTTTCGTTTAGTTTTTTTCCCCGAAATTGAATGAAATCTTTGCACACTGCTACCATTAAGGGAACTTAGGTGAACATTTTCATGATTCTGGGTATTTGATTTGATTCATCAACTGTAGTTTCGTGTTTCTAGCGTCTATATCGAACGTTATTCATTTTCTCTCAAACAAAAAAAAGCTCTTTTTTCCCGTCTGAATAAATCTGTCAGGGGAAAAAGATTCCCCCCTAAATTTAGCTATGCTTAAAACATCTCAAAATTTGATTTTTTTTTTTTTACAGAAAGGCTCTGAGGACTGAAGGTGACGGACCTCTAGAAACATGTCAAAAAAAAACTTTTAGGGAAAGCCCACCCCTTCCTTTTTCCCAAAATTTAAACATAAATACCTTTCATAGATAGGTAATGCAAATTAAGGGTTACCGACTACGTTCGAACCGCATTTAAAAAAGGGATAAAAAGGATAATTTTTTAGATATTTAGTATCACTTAGATTAGAATACATGTATAAAATTGTTTCAAAGAATTTTGGGAAAAAAAAATTTTTTAAATAAAATACGGGAAAAAATTACCCTTTGAATAAATTTTTTTTAAAAGTTTTTTGTGAAAAATGTTTATTAATAATAAATATTTTTCCTGTCCAAACCCCAGACCTCTGTACGGTTTAACTGGGACTTTTTTAAAAACCCCCATTATTTTCAGAGTTACAAAACCCCTTTTTAAAAAATTATCGGCGTTTTTTTTTTAAAAAATTTTTTTCCCGGTTAGCATAAAAAACATGGATAAACCCACTTTCCCAAATTATATATTTCAAAAATTTAGTTGAGCCCTCAGTAAAAGGTCTGAGCTTTTATACAGGCAAAATATTAATATAATAGAAGCATTTTTTACAAAGGAGAACATTTTGAAAAAAGGTCCCCCCATTTTTTTTCAAAAAAATTGTACTTAAATAATTTTTTATTGTATTAATATTCTTTAAAAAAATTTTATATACATCTAAGACACTAAATATCATAAATATTATCCATTTATACGCTTTTGAAAAACGTGGTTCCGAACGTAGTCGGATACCTTAAAGCGCATAATTTTGTAAAATATGTAATAAAAAATACTTTGAGAGAGATTTTTAGATTTTTGAAGTAGGAAATTAAGTTATATTACTAAGCACTTAGTAAACAGTTCTGTTGTATTCTGTTAATTCGAAAGAAACGATAACATTTGAATATATTGAGTCTTTATATATTAAAAAGATTCATTCAACTATTTCAAATAATCTTATGTACAAATTTGAGTGCTTGTATATTTGTTTGGACGTATAAAAATATAAATCCCGTTGATCGTATTGCAAAATTTCGCTGGGAGCTTCACTGTTGTTTCAAAGGAGTTGTGAGCATATTTCTGCCTCTGTAGAATTTTTCAAATTTATTTTGAGTTAACTTTTTTCTGAAACCATCTTACTAGAGCAAGAATTCACGTGTTTATGTCCAAAATTGCCAAATGCCGTGATATGTAGCCAATAGTGGAAAACATTCCCATCAGATTTTTTAAAAAAAAAACTGTTAATGCATCTTTATATTTGACAACATTTAGAAACTGGTTTTCCGGAAATCAACCCCCAGGGTGAGGGGTTATAGATCAAAATTCCCGTTTTTGAATTATTACATCTAAGCTGAACTTAGTAGTGCAACAGCTCATGAGGGTCAAGGTCTAATATGCTCATCTCAGTATACGTAACCTTGGACACTGAAGTATATGTGTGACGGGTCTTTACGCGACTTTCACCAACTAATCCTCTTGGGGAATCTTTGGGCTAGCATTCACGTTTAATTCACAGCCATCCGTCTCAAGAAGAAACCCTGATATGCAAATTAGTTAGAGTATATAAAGTTAGAGTTTGGTAATTGTGGGGCAGAAGGAGCGGAGCATCTGTTGTGCAGCGTTACAAAGGTGGGATTTAGAATTTACGCACCTAGACTAAAGGACGGAGTTTTGCTGCTATACTACATTAGTGGATTAGGAATTGATAGGTTAGGATTGTTTAAGGTTAATTTGATCTATTGCTTGCGCTTATTCACTTAGGGTTGTTGTGCTTTCTTTTTATCACTCCTATGGCTTCTTTTTGTGGTTGATTAGTGTGACTGAATAATAATAATAAATTAGATTTATCGTGAAAGTTTCTGGTCATGCTTTGCTCCCACCAACAACTTTAGGTAGGCAAGACGGTGAGGGAGCGACTTCAGGGGAAAGTCGTTTGCACATGAGCAGATGTTTCGGTCAGGTAGTCAGTCTGACACGACCCCCCCCTCAGTGTTTAGTTCCCAAGCAAGCCTGGTACTAATTTATAAACCCATTGAAGGATAAAAGACTGAGTCGACCTTGCCCAGCCTGGGATTTGAGCCCCAGTCCTGTGACGTGGAAGGAACACAATCACCAGCCAATTGGGCTTCACTATAACACCTACTGACATGAATACCCGGCAAGCATATTTCTTTTGTTGAGTAGAAACCCTTAATTAGGATTTTGTGGAAATCGACTGTAAGGGTATTTTCCTTAGGCATGAAAGACAAGTATACTTCCATTTTAGAAATTCAATTCCTCTTCCTTTTTAAATCAACAGGTGAAGGTTATAAAAACGCTTTTGAATACAAACAAAAGCTTAACGTTTGGACTTAGATATCAGTAACTTTAAAACACATGTCTATAGTCATACATTGTCATGAAATACCCGACGAAGTGGATGGGTAACGTCTTGTACTTTTCATAAAGTAAAATTTTGCGACACGTTTGATTAAAAGTATGTTTTAGAACAGGAGTTTCAAACTCGCGTCCCACAGCGAACCTTTTTGCATTCCGGTTAATATATCCCCGCACAAAAATACATTATAAAAAAAAAAATGTTAAAGTTCTCTAGAAATTAGAAAGGTAACAGCAGAGAAAAGAGATGTCAAGTGTCAAGATACAAGCATTAAATTTTTTTTTGTTCTTTTATAAATGTTTATTATAATCTATTATTCGAAATAAACCCCTATGTTTCTATGAATGTTGATTTTTCCTTGCGGCCTTCGCCTCGTTAAACCTTGCTCGTTTCTTTTGGCCCAAATTGCTTTTGAGTTTGATATCCCTGTTCTAGCTGAAATTCGTAAATTTCGTCCCTTTTCACAATAATAAGTCTTTAATATTATATCCTTATTTGGAAATAATTGTCATTCTTATTCAAGTTTTTTATAAGTAGTCGTGGAAAGGTGTAAAATCTCTGATTTTTTGACAATTTGAGATTTTTACATTTTCACAAATTGTACAGATTTTTAACCTTTCTAAAAAAATACCTTTACTTTTAACCTCTAGGACACTAGAACCCTAAAACCTAATTTTAAATAATCGTTAAAACTGGGCCGCCCATTTGACAAGTGAAAAAGTAAACAAAAGTTTTTGTTTTTGCTTAAAAATTGAGCGTCTGGTATAAATCAAAACATTTATCTTTTATTGTAAATTGAACCTTTTATTTTTTATTTCCTAGCCCATTAGAAGCCTCATCGTATTTTAACGGTCAAATCAATGTTTGTTTACACTTGCAAAACTGCGTTGTTATTTTTGAATTCGCCAGTATTCATTAAATATTGCTTAAACTTTCATAAAATTTGCTTTAAAAATATCGAGTTTACCATGCCTAGAGCATCAACTAAAGTATTTAAGAAACGAAGAGGAGTTTTAATAAAGGAAGATGCAAAAAGTAATGATGGTTGTGTAGAAGGCATTTCTTACCGTTCCAAAGAACTGTGCTGAGGAAAAGAATTTTGCTGATGGTGCAAAGCCTTGTACTAATGAAAACTGAACCATCTGCCAGTGAGAGAAAAGTAAATTCTAAATATGGATATTTCCATACTCGATGAAGCTTTTCTGGTTTCAGAAATGTTATTGTGGATTATTAACCTTTAGCTTGTGTGTTTTTTGAAGCTGTGAAATGTTTAAATTGTGAAAAACAGGAATTGTGATTGCACCTCAATGAAAGTAACTGTGGTGAAGGTGAAGTTTCACTTAAAATGTCCTTCTTGCAAATATAATTACACTTTTTTAAATTCAAAGAAATGTGATAGTTCCGAGAACTATGAATCCACACACACTGCTATGCGATGCATAGGTAAAGGCGCTGAGTCTAAGTTAGATGTTTTAGGTATCATGAATCTTCCCCACCACCCACAAAATTTCGAAGTACAACAAAATTTTGCATTGCAGGCAACAAGAGAAACCTGTGAAGACAGTGGCTGAAGCTGTTCGTAGCAGTTGATGAAAATGATGGGAAAAGGACATTGCTGTTGCTGTTGATGGTAGCTGGCAGAAGCGAGGTTTTTCTTCGAAGAATGGCGTGGTGACAGTCACGAGTGTTGATACCGGCAAAGTTATTGACGTTGAAGTTTTTCAAAACATTGTATTTGTCCGAACAAAAACCAAGCACCTTCAAAATTGTAAGAGAAATTT